AATTGGGCTCCAACTCAAAAAGTAAAATTTTGCGGATTAATTGTAGATACAGTAGAGGGTCAGGTTGTGGCTCCAAAAGACAAGATAGTTGCAACTGTAGAGAATCTCAAAAAGTTGCTGATTACTCCAGTTATAAGTGCTCGCCACTTAGCATCAGTTACAGGGAAAATAATCAGCCTTGCAAGAGCATTTGCTCCAAGTCAAATAAAGTGTTTAGAGTTTTACCGGATTATCGATGCCAAAAATCAAGATTATGGAAGCTGGAATTAGCAAATACAGCTATCAACACAGGCAAAAATAGATGCAAAGTGGCTAATAAAAAATTTAAAACTGTGGAATGGATGCCCAGCTTGGAAGCCCTCTCAAGTCAAAGCTGTGTATATAGATGCTTCAACTCTGAGCTGGTGCGGAATATACAAGAGTTACAAAGCAGCAGGAAATTGGCCTCAGCAGTTTTCATCAAATCAAATTGCCAAGCTAGAAGCCTTAGCAGTACTAAGGTCCCTTCAGTCTCTAGGAGATCTACTATCAGGGTCTTGGGTAACTCTGTTTATCGACAACAGAGTTGCTCTAAGAACAGTTATAGAGGGCAGACCTACAGAGTGGCAAAAAGATATTGCAAGGGCTATTTGGAAAGTTTGTTTAGAAAAAAATATTAGCATATTCCGTACCCAGTGGATTCCAAGCAAATGCAATCCAGCAGATTTTTTGACAAGAGTAAGAGATTATGGGGATTGGACCTTAACTTGCAATATTGTAACAATGCTACAAAATGTATAGGGACTATTCGAGATTGACAGATTTGCTGACCATTTAAATACCAAAGCAACTCGATTCAACAGTCTTCACTTCTGCCCAGAGACAGAAGCAGTAGACTGTTACACACAGGACTGGAGAGGGGTTCTAAACTATCTCTGCCCTCCCTTTGAGCAAATTCATCGTGCTTTAGTTCATGCAGAGGAATGCAAAGCAAAAATTGCTATTATAGTTCTAGTGTGGATATCGGCCCCTTGGTGGCCAATAATAATAGGAGTAAAATGGCAAGAAATAGAACTCCCACCATCAGAACAGATATTTCTTCCTGGACCATCAGGAAATATAGAACTATGCAAGAATCCAGAATAGAGAATGAGAGCAGTTCTAATAGACTGGTCCAAGACTTAGAAAATTATGCAAAAGCACTAGCTTTAAAGTCAATTAGTAAACCTTATAAATATCGATTAGAGAAGTCATGGATAACTTTTAAGAATTTTGCTGAATCTGTAAAGCAGAAGTATTGTCCAGTATCTGTACAGCTAGTAATGGCATTTATAGCATGGATGGAATTGTCTAATTGTTCATCTGAACTAGCAGATTGCTTAAGGGCAATATCGAAAGTTCATGTATTAAAAAATTTGTTAAGTCCGGTAGAAAATAAGGCAGTTAAATGTACAGTTGAAGGTATCAAGAAAATTGCTTCACAGGATATAGAGGCACAATGGCCTCGTGACCCACTACCAATAAGTGCAATCAAGAACTTTGTTGACTTGCCTCCAGAAGGAATAAGTTATGAATTATGAGCCCGGGATGCTGCCTTGCTGGCAGTAGCATTTAGATTAATGCGGCGCCCAATTGAACTTTGTAATTTAAAAGTGAATGATGTTATTCTAAAGGATAGTTTATTATGAATAAGAATTAGTAAGTCCAAAACGGACCAACTGGCTAAAGGGAAGTTTGTGCCACTAGAAAGAATAGCAGGAAAGTATTGTCCAGTAAGGCTGCTTGAAGTGTACTTTGCAGTTAGACCAAAAACACCTCCTGAAGCACCTCTGTTTCTGTCAAAATCAAAAAGCAGAATGACAGTGACAGCTGTATCATCAGTAGTAAAGTGAGTGGCAGACCATGCAAGATTAACTGGTAGATTTACTGCCCATAGTCTGAGAATTGGAGGGGCTACTGCTGCAATG